TTCACTTGACCATGTGTAGTACGTATCTAAAATGAGAAAAAGAAAATGAGAAACAAAAATTGGCTCTATATATAATTTTATATTTAGTACTATTAACTTTCATTGACTTTTTTTCGTAAATTATTTTTTTTCAAGTTGACGATTGGACCTATAAAAAATAATTTATTTTCGTGGTTATTAACCGAATCGAACCACACCGAACCGAGATATAAACTGAACCGAACCGAATTGACTTTCGTGGTTATGGTGCGGTTATGGTATGGCCAAAAAATTGGTGGTGCGGTTATGGTTTTGGCCAAACCGACCTCGAACCGAACCGTTGCCATCCCTAATCGCTCTATGTGCTATACACATGACAGTTTTATTATTTGATGTATGAGGTAATAAAAAACTATCACATTAATACATCAAATAACAAACTGTAATGCGTATACCACGTAGAACGACTACCGATAGTCTTCATTATGCTCTCAACAAGTAGAAGAAGGAGAACATTAACACAGTAATATATTGCTCTCAACAAGTTCAGGTGGCGATCAAATAGTTGAGTTGGGACAAGTTTTGTCACAGGGATAAGGACAGTCAATCTCTTGAAATTGACTTCGGTCGAAAAACCAATCTCCAACAGCTTCTGCAATCGTCTGCATAAAAAAAATTATTTTGGCGATTAAGTTTTGCTCAAAGGGACAATATGAAAGCACCATTAAAAAAATGCAGTCGTCAAATTGGAAAGAAATATTGACCTTGTTATTTAAGACCGGCGAGTGGGACCCAAACCAAGTTTCCCCTTCAGTTTGGCAGTGTGTATAGCAGGAATTTATGTAGTATCCTCTTGATGTAGGGACACCAATTCCAGTCAATGCATTTATAAAATCCAACCTGAAGCCTAAAAACCACATTAAATAGAAACAACTTCATTTCAATTGAAACCAAAACCTCGGATGAAATATTTAGATAAAACAACTTATAGTACCTTGAATCGTTTGGAGCTGACTAGGGGGGCAATTGCTAAAACTAGTCTTGCAATTGCTCCAAGTACCATTTGTATCCGAATCATTAGGAACCAAAATGTTATTTATCTGGAAAAATTGACGATGTCAAAAGAATCGAAACCACAAAATCGGAAGAATGACAGCAATATAGAAAAAGATCATATATAACAACAAAATATGCTCATGTCATTGAGATCGGATACATACTAACCTGCCATGAATCGTAGGCAGCATTTGTAATGAAAAGTGGCGTCCGGATTTGTTGTGCGATGTTTTGAGGGAAAAAACACTAAACATTTTGAGTGAAATCAGCATGAGACGAGTTATGTCACAGTGTAAAATCATTTAATCTAGTCAAGAAAATTGCTCTTACCAATCCGGGTTTTCCTCTTGACGTACATGATGAGGGCAAGTTCTTCGCCGCTCCCTACATCCAATTCAACGACGAAAATGGAATCAGAAGATGGTCAAACTTCTATTCAATAAGCATATAAAGAGCTTGTTTGGGATAGATTTTTGAGGGAAGAATTGATTTTGAATAGTGATATGATGGGAAATGTGTGGTTGAAAAAGAAGAAAAAATTATTGATGTGATGGAAAACATTATTTTATTGAAAAATGTGTGGTTGAAAATGAGAATTGATTTACTGTAGAAAAATTTAATCCCTCCCAAACAGGGCCATAGTGTACCCACTCATTTTATTCATTTTAATTGTCAGTAGGTATGTTGTGGTTGAAAAAGAAGAAAAAGTTATTGATTTGATGGAAAATATTATTTTATTGAAAAATGTGTGGTCGAAAATGAGAATTGATTTACTGTAGAAAAATTTAATCCCTCCCAAACATGGTCAAACTATTGTTTATAGAAGAAAATTCATACATGCGTAGTGACCACGTTGTTGTAGTAATCCTCGATAGATGATGCTCCAAAAACATCTTTCCTGTAACAGAGGATAAAAGATGTTAGCTTTAGTTTAAATAGATGACCATAATTCTTCTAGACATTAAACCTTGTCTTGATACAATGCCCTGCATGAAAGCTTACACATTTATAAAATAACCAGCATCTGAAATGCACTTGACTTTGGCACCCTCGGGAATGAGAGCTCTAAATTTATCACAATGCAAAATAGATGTCAACCCACCAGCTGAACATCCACTCAGAACAGCCTGCTAACAATACTACAAGTTACTGATGTTTGATTCAATAAAAAATGGAGGAATATCCATATGAAAAAAATCATACATTTTCAGCATTCTTCATTCCTTTCTCTAGCAGCTCCTCCATCATAGCAAGAAAAATCCTTGCCCCCCTGAAGTAAAGTTTGGTAGCCTAATCAAAGTTTACAAAAAAATTATTAGAACAAGAAAGCCATCCACTATAGTTTCACAAAATGGCATTAAATTATATATACCTATTCTCTGCTAAATAGAAAAAATGCGAAAAATAATCTTATGAATATATCTATTGTGATGACTTACAGGATCCACTGCTTCTACATCCCCAGTAAATGATGCACCATCACAATATCTAATCTTGATTTTATTCCAATTATGGAAATCTGGATATTTTCATGAGATAATAATAATTAAAGACTACACTAAAGAAGATTAAAAGTCCGAATATAAATCAAAATCCAAGTCAATCAAAAGATAAAAGTATACCTGGGTTAAACTGTGGCTCATTGCTCAAAATCCCAGAGAAATTAAGATGTTTAGCCATGTTCTTGGAGGAGCCTTTTTTTAGGTTCTTATGGGCTAGGCAAGTTGTTATATTATGGCACCACCCTCCTCCCTAATCATCGAAGACACACATTTTACATTCTCCTCAACAAAAATCAGGCAACATAGTTAATTTATGTTTTAATATAATATAAGCACTGTGCAGTTAAAAAAAAAAAAATACTCAATAGCTTATGGCAAGAGGACTAACCTCAATATGAACCAACCAACTATTAATTCCCGTGCCAGATCCTCTATCAAAATGGTAAACTGGTGGAGTTCCATCTAAACAAACTGCAAATACAAAGACAGAAGAATATATAGGTAACCATATTTTTTCAGAACTATATAAAAAATTAATACTAATTTTCTACATCGTGGCATTAATGTTTTACCAGCTCCTTTTGCAACAGCATTGGGGAGATACGTCTTATCAACCAAAAGAGCTTTGGTCCTCAATGAAATCAGCAAGAAAAAAAGAATTTGCAACATCATTCTGTACATAATATCAACAAAATGCCTGATGGAGGGTATAGGACGTTGCCAAACTTAAAGAAGGAATCAAGAAATCTGTCTGATGAAGGGTATAGGACGTTGCCTGATGAAGTGAGGGAATGAAGTGAAAGAGTGATAGAGTTACTGAGAGAGCTTGTAGATAGTGAGAGGGAGTGGTGGCAGGGAGTGATATTTATAGGCAATAATGATTTGATATCAAAGGTATTCTATGTGAATAGGATTCGAATTTAAAACTCAATATAGTTTACTAGGTCATTGAACTTTATGGTATATTTACTTTGATCATTAAATTTTTGGGGTAAAACACGCTTACAAGTTTCTTTTCGATGTAAAATATTAATTTTGACCATACATTTTTTTAGACCTACAACCGGCAATTACTTTTCCACCATTCATTTCTACCAACTGATAATAATTTTAACAACTAAAAAGGAAAGCTAAACAAAGGCTAAGTAGCTTTTTTGAAGTCTTAATTAGCCCGTGTTTGATCCACATCATTTTTTTCATTATCATTTTTCTATTCATTTTCAACCACACATTTTTCAATAAAATA